AGTAAATATATCGGATAGCGGAATATATACAATACATATATACAAGCTAAGATGCTTATACCTCAAGAATGACTGGACCAATTTTGACAAATTTAGTCAATTCAGAATGCCCTCTTGGCGTAAAAGAATAAAATCTAAAAAAATCGAATAAAAAGATGTCAATAATGATGTTAATATGGATTTTGTAGTATTTTGTGACATTTTTTATTTTTTTCATATTTTTTATCGCATGCGATTTTTTCATTTTGACTTATAATATTAAAGAATACATTTTATAATATTTTTTCATTTTACAACACAAGTTTGGTTATTATATATAGATTGCAATTATCCTAACGAAAAAAGTTAGGGTTAGGCTCAGAAGGGTTAGGCCTATTGTTTTCAAGGATGTCCGCAATATATTTAGGGGTTGAAATGGACCAACAACTAAAAATGTTCCTGATTTTGTAGCCGTTATAAAGGTCACAAATAAAATCCAAAGGACACAAAATCTCGCATGAAGTTAGAGTTTAGAACAGCGGGTAGAATGGACCACTACTTATGTGTGAAAAAATACCATACAAATATCGTAGACAAACAAATCATGTATATGAGTCTAAATTTGGAGATACAGAGGGGCCTCTTGCTTTTGGAGATGATCGCAAAATAGTTAGGGGTTCAAATGAACCAAAAACAGAAAAAATTGCTGATTACACAATTGAAGCCAATCGACGTGCCTGAGAAGAATGTTAAGGACATCGAAGAAGTCTAGTATTTTGGTTGACCATTAGATTAAATTTATCCGTGACATAGTTTCAAAGGCGAAATCTTCCAAAATAGATTTAAACATAAGGGGGCTTTTAACATATTGTAGTGTTGTAGGGTATCACATAGTCGGCCCCGCACGACTATAGCTTTTGCTTACTTGTTTTTTTTTTGAAAATTTGCAAATTCTCTTCACTGCTTTTTCATTTCTCCTTTTTTTCAAATATACCAAGTTCTTTCCTTACATCTTTGATTTATTCATTTCTTCCTGACAGAAAACTGTTATCATTCTCTATTTTCCGATTATAAATTATATATAAGTTGTGGAATATTTTTTTCCAAGGAAATTTCCTCATTCATTCTCCACTTCCAATATAGATGTTTGTTTGCTGAACATCAACACTAATATTTATTTTATGATGAGGAAATTTATTGTGCGGTAATACATCTCAAGATTAAAAAGGAATTTTATGGTAAAACATAAATTCACGAGAATTCATGGGAGCTGTAAAGAACGTAGAGAGAAGTGCGTCGTTTAATGGAACTTAGAGTGCAGAACATAAATATTTGTTGATCTGGGGCAAAATATTAACTTAAGAAATTATATTAAATGAAATGTGAGTTTTGAAAAAATATATATATTTTTTTTATTCCGCAAAAAGTTAAGGAGTATTAGGAGTAAAGGTGGTTTTGATGGCTAAAACGATTTCATGAGATAAATAATTAATTTCAAAACAAAGGAACGCAAAACTTAGAGACAGGCACTTACTTATGCAATCCTCTTTCTCTAGGTTTACAATTATTCTATTCTATAGAAGACCTCTCCCAGAAGTCTTCTATATCTTATAGAAGATATGTCCGAGAAGTCTTCAACAACAGGGTTAGATAAAAAAACTGCAACCAACTTCAGACTGCTGTCATTTCTAAGCCACTCGTTCGACATCTGTTAAAATTATTACAGTGACAGCTCATTACATTGTTTACAAGTGTACAAAACCATTTTGTTGAGAATTTTCCAGAAAAAAAGTTATTCGTGATGGAATTCAAGCGTGATAGTGTGATTTCTTTATATTTGGCTGGAAAATCACAAGTGGCTATCGTTAGAGCACTCCAGCATTTAAATGTAAATAAATCTTCTGTGGTTCGAGCCATCGCTCGTTACCGTGTTACTGGTAATGTAGCCCGACGTCAAGGAAGTGAACGGGAGAAAAAAGCAACATCAGCAGAAATGGTTTGAAAAGTAAAGAAGCAAATTGATCGAAACCCGCATCGCAGTGGCCGAAAAAAGGATAGTGAGCTGAACATATCTTAATATTCCATTCGGCAAAGATTGAAAAATGTTCGGGGTAAATCCATTGAAATTCCAAAAAGAACATACACCGCAACAGAGAGAAAATAGACTCAAAAGAGCTAAGGATTTATTTCGCTTGGCCGAAAGTGGTAAACTGCCGAATTTGGTTTTCTCAGATGAGAAAACATTCGTTGTCCAGCAGTTTGTAAACAAAAAAATTATTGTCTTTTCTTGCCAAAGAGATCAGCTGAAAATGTCCACCTTCGGTCGGCCACCGGAACTCAAGCGTTGGCCATGGTGATGATGTGGGCCGCCATAACAGTCGATGGTCGATCTGCGCTCGTATTAATTTTAGCGAAAATATACTGAAGAGTGTATTAAAGTCTTGGGTATGCAAACATTTTGGTCGCAGACCTTGAACATTGCAAAAGGACTCGGCACCATCGCACTCAACACGCGCCACCCAAGAATGGTTAAAAAATGAGGTTCCTCGCTTTATTTCCAGCGCACAAAATGGCCAGCAAAATCTCCGGATACCAATCCGTTGGTCTATTGTGTCTCGAGTATATTGGAAAGCAAGGGTGGCACTAACAAATACCAAAGTGTCGATCACCTCAAGCAAGCGCTTCACCGGGAATGGGCCAAAATACCGCAGAGCACCATTCGGGCAGCGTGGGACGGTTTCATTGGCCGCTTGAAGGTCATAATTCGTGCCAAAGGTGAACAATTCGAACAAATCATAACTCATTCTTAAATTTGATGCTATTTCCGACATTTCTGCTTTCATTCAATAAAATTAAAAAAAAAAAAAATTAAAAATTAGGGCGTTTGACTTTGTTGCAGTTTTTTGTATCATCCTGTGATTGGGTTTTATTACACAAAAATTTAGGATATTTGGAATAGAGGTGGAATGTGTTAATGTGTAATGTTTTTAATAACAAAATATATTTCAAGCGATAACCCGCGAATTTCAAAAAAAAAAAAAAAAAAAAGTAAAAAAGCAGTAAGTTCGGCCGGGCCGAATACCCTCCACCATTTGGAACGAATTAGAAAATTTTCAAAAAAATTAAATCCAATAAAAATTCTTTTAAAATCTTTAAAATATCTAATATAGGAAGGTGCCGATATATGGGGGGATATACGATATTGTGGACCTATAAAGACAAATCTATGTCTGCGTGTAAAGTACTCACAAGGAACTCCTTGTATGGATTCACAGATAATTCCATTGGAAAAAGTGGCTAAAATCATCAAAATACCGAATATCGGGGGGCTATACGATATATGGGGGCTATACGATATTATGGACCTATACAGATAATTCTCTGCCGAGGTATAAAGTACCCACAAGGAACTCCTTGTGTGGATTTTTAGACAATTCCGTTGAAAAATGTGGGTAAAATCATCAAAATACCGAATATCGGGGGGTACCGTTATATGGGGGATATACGATATCGTGGACCGATATAGCCCATCTTCGAACTTGACCTGCCTGCAGACAAAAGAGAGATCGATGCAAAATTTTAGCTTCCTATCTTAATTCGTTTAGACTGTAGCGTGATTACAACAGACGGACGGACAGGGCTAAATCGTCTTAGAATTTTACGCTGATCAAGAATATATATACTTTGTTGGGTCTAAAATGATTATTTCGATGAGTTACAAACGGAATGACGAACTTAATATACCCTCCATACCTTTTTTGGTGGAGGGTATACAAAGAACTAAAAGCTCAAAAGCTAGCTCTTACTTTTGCAATCCTCTTCCTCTAGGTCTTCAACTATTCTATTCTAGAGAAGGCCTCTGCTAGAGGTCTTTAGCTAGTCTATAGAAGGCCTCTGCTAGAGGTCTTCAGCTAGTCTATAGAAGGCCTCTGCTAGAAGTCTTCAGCTAGTCTATAGAAGGCCTCTGAGAGAGGTCTTCAGCTATTCTATAGAAGGCCTCTGCTAAAAGTCTTCAGCTACTCTATAGAAGACCTCTGCTAGAGGTCTTCAGCTAGTCTATAGAAGGCCTCTGCTAGAAGTCTTCAGCTAGTCTATAGAAGGCCTCTGCGAGAGGTCTTCAGCTATTCTATAGAAGGCCTCTGCTAAAAGTCTTTAGCTATTCTATTCAACCTCTGCCAAAAACCTTCGCGTCACATCTAAACGCATAGTAGTCGGATTTATAGTGTGATTAAGATTGGGCCCAATAATTAATTATTAATTTGTGGACATTAATTTCATTTTTATACCTGATCGAACTTTAACCTCAAAGTCTCCATAACATTTAATACATACATATATGCATCTATGTATGTTTGTGTGCATGTATGTCACACATTGAAGTCTAAATATAATTTATTGCCTGTGTTTTTTTTTTTTTTTTCTCCACCAAACATAAATTTAATATATTCCAATTAGTTAACCAAAGACCTTTGAAATAATTTATGTATTATTTATATATATTCTCTAGCAAAAAGCCCCAATTCATTTTAAATTTTTTAAATTAATATTAATCATACAAACACCTGTACTATTAATATTAATTATACGCCATAACATGTTTTATAACCCTCCAGGGTAATATATTTAAAATTACCACAGAACAAATGTTTTTGTATATTATTTATCCATTTATAAGCGGAAAATAAAATTGAATCCCAAACTCCGACATCATTGATCTTTGCCATTGTTGCGGGACATGTATGTGGAGCACCGAGCCTTAACATTCTTTGCTTCGACAAATTCCAAACAAATTGCAAATCTTTGCTTAGCTTTCAACAATCCTCGTCGACTACCTGTTTGCATTTCATTCATTATTTTCGAACAACAGTGCGAATGTCGTCGCATGCCATTCCTTCCATCCGTTTACCGTATTGTGTAAAACTTGACAAAATATCTGTTTTTAAACCTATTACATGTTTATTTTCATGTTCTCTCATTGGATATTGACGTTATTGCTTTCTTTCGTTTCTTCTTTGCCATAGATACGGCTTGCCCGATAAGCCTCTGGAGCTGGGACGTGTCACGCCCGGCACATATTGTACACGTCAATTCGATGAATGCTATCGCAACAAATGCCGTTTGCAAAGTCCCAATTATCCGGGCATGTATCCGAGAAATGTCACGTGCTACTGGACCATACGGCAAAAAGAAGTTCCTACCAGCAAACATGCCATGATTGCTGTCAGCCAAGAAAATCAACATAAAGCTTTAGTTAAGAGGTAAGTGCATTGTAAGAGGGTCCCATCCTGCCGCATTTGGAACCAAAACCAATCATGTGTGATTTCTGTTTGCCAGAGAGAAACGTATTTTTGTGGCTGTGGCTATTGAAGGGAACGAAAAAAAAAACATAGTTGACATGTAAAATAGGCAAAAATGAAAAATTATTTGGGGGATGGTTCCTTCTATTCCAAGAAAGGGGAAAATGGGAAAAATATTTTTTCGTAAGGCTAACAATAGAAGAGGTGCAATGCGGAAAGAGGGTTTTTAGAGGCCTAATGCTGCTCCTTCGATGCCTTCTTTAGGTTACTTGCGAGAGGCATTGGACTATTTCAAAAGAAAAATCGATAGCCTTTCTCGCCGATGAAGTATTTGGCAAAATTGTCAATAGTCTATTCTGGAATAGTGAGGGTCTCTCTTGCGAGACAGAGAAACCTGTCGCCAGAGGGCTCCCTCTATTCTAGAGAATAGGTAATGGCCTCTGTCGCCAGAGGCCTTCAACTATTCTGGGGGAATAGTTAACGGCCTCTCTCGCCAGGGGCCTTCAACTATTCTGGGGGAATAGTTAACGGCCTCTCTCGCCAGAGGCCTTCAACTATTCTGGGGGAATAGTTAACGCCCTCTCTCGCCAGAGGCCTTCAACTATTCTGGGGGAATAGTTAACGGCCTCTCTCGCCAGAGGCCTTCAACTATTCTGGGGGAATAGTTAACGCCCTCTCTCGCCAGAGGCCATCAACTATTCTGGGGGAATAGTTAACGGCCTCTCTCGCCAGAGGCCTTCAACTATTCTGGGGGAATAGTTAATGGCCTCCCTCGCCAGAGGGCTTCCTCTATTCTAGAGAATAGGTAATGGCCTCTGTCGCCAGAGGCCTTCAACTATTCTGGAGTGAATAGTCGATGGCCTCCCTCGCCGGAGGCCTCAGCTATTCTGGAGAGTATAGTTAATGGCCTCTGTCGGCAGAGGGCTTCATCTATTCTGGAGAATAGTTAATGATCTGTGTCGCCAGAGGGCTTCATCTATTCTGGAGAATAGTTAATGGTCTCTGTCGCCAGAGGGCTTCATCTATTCTGGAGAATAGTTAATGGTCTCTGTCGCCAGAGGGCTTCATCTATTCTGGAGAATAGTTAATGACCTCTGTCGCCAGAGTGCTTCATCTATTCTGGAGAATAGTTAATGGCCTCTGTCTTCAGAGGGCTTCTTCTATTCTGGAGAATAGTTAATGACCTCTGTCGCCAGAGGGCTTCATCTATTCTGGAGAATAGTTAATGGCCTCTGTCGCCAGAGGGCTTCATCTATTCTGGAGAATAGTTAATGGCCTCTGTCACCAGAGGCATTCAGCTATTCTGGGGAATAGTGAGAGGTCTCTCTTGCGAGAGGCCTTCAAATATTCAAGAGAACAGTTAATGGCCTCTTTCGCCAGAGGCCTTCAACTAATCTAGAAAAAAATCGATGGCTTCATCCGCCAGAGACCTTCAGCTATTCTGGAGAATCATCGATGGCCCCTTATATAAACCTTCAGTTATTCCGGAAAATAATCGATGGTCTCTTCCGCCAGAGGCCTTCCGTTATTCTGGAGAATAATCTTTGGGCTCTTCCGCCATTGGCCTTCATTTATTCTGGAGAATAATCGATGGCGCCTTCCGCCAGAGGCCTTCTGTTATTTTGGAGAATAATCGATAGCCTCTTCCGCCAGAGGCCTTCAGCTATTCTGGAAAATAATCGATGGCTTCTTCCGCCATAGGCCTTCAGATATTCTGGAGAATAATCGTTGGCCTTTACCGCCAGAGTCCTTCAGCTATTCTGGGAAATAATCGATAGCCTCTTCCGCAAAAAACCTTCAGTTTTTCTTGAGAATACTCTATTGCCTCTTCCGCCAGATGTCTTCAGTTATTCTTGAGAATAATCCATGGCCTCTTCCGCCAGGGGTCTTCAGTTATTCTGAAGAATAATTGTGGGTATCTTCCGCCATAGGCCTTCAGTTATTCAGGAAATTAATCCATGGCCTCTTCGGCCAGAGACTTTCAGTTATTCTGAAGAATAATCCATGCCCCTTCCGTCACAGGCCTTCAGTTATTATGCAGAATAATCGTTGTCTTCTTCCCGCAGAGGCCTTCAGCAATTCTGGAGATTAAGCGATGGCCTCTTCCGCCAGAGGCCTTTAAATATACTGGGAGAAATAGTTAATTGCCTCTCCACCAAGAGGCCTTCAAATATTGGGAAAAGAGTTTTGGCCTCTCTCTCTCTCTCTCCATTATATAGGAAGCCTTTTTTATTCTATAGAAGTCCTCTTCGAGAGATCTTTTATATTATACAAAAGGCCTCTCCGAGAGATCTTCTATATTCTCCAGAAGCCCTCTATGAGAGGCCTTCAACTAGTCTATAGAAGGCCTTTCCTAGATGTTTTCAAAATTTTATAGAAGGCCTCTCCAAGAGTTCTAGAGGTCTTCTATATCCTAAAGAAGGCCTCTCCTAGAGTTCTTCTATATTGTACGGAAGGCCTCTCAGGGAGTTTTTTTATGTTCTATAGAAGGCCTCTCCGAAAGGTCTTCTCCTCTCTCCTAGATGTCTTCTATGTTCTATAAAAGGCCTCTCTGAAAAGTTTTTGATATTCCGTGAAAGATATCCCCAAAAGGTCATTTATATTCTATAGTAGGCCTCTCCGAGATATATTCTATATAATGCCTCTCAGAGAGGCCTTATGATTTCAATTTCACCAAAATGCCAAAAAATTAAACTCCTCTTCATTTAACACCTCAATTGCAAAAAAAAGTATTTCCAGGCGATTAGTAATGCCATTCAAGCAATTGATGTATTCCTCCAGGGCTCAGATTAATGGTGGGCGGTTACTGAATGATATACCTTCATTTTTTGTGGTTTCTTTGGCATTCCAATTCATTTTCTTGTCTTTCATTCCGATTTGCGGCAGGGGGATGGGTTGTATATTCCATTTTCAATTTAATTGTTTGCTTTTGAAGTATGTTTCACTGATTCTCTTTCGTGTTTCCATTTCGTATTCACAGGTCCATTGCTAGTTTCAACAAAACCTCGCGTTCGATACGTGCCTGGTCGGATTGCACCGGTGAACGTGATCATTTGATATTTTACGATGGCAGTTCAACTAATGATCCGGTCTTGGCCAAATATTGTGGCGGTGATTGGTTACCAAAAGTTGTGTCACGGTAAGTAAATGGCAATAAAGCTTGATGATGATTTTTAGTTATTTTTTTATTTGCTACGGAACGATATTGAAGATGGGAAAAAAGAATCTCAAAAAAATTGTTTTACATTTAAACCTAAAAATTTCATGGGAATTTGAAATAAATTTTTAGAGTTATTAAATTTCTATGGATCGAGCCATCTATGGCTAAGCAATTTCTTCTGTTGAAAACGTTTCTCACGTTTCCAATCTTAAAGTATGTTCGCTCGAAATTCTTCCACGTCATCATCTTCCCCTATTGCTTACTACCCTTCATATTTATCACATTTACGGATTTTCCATATAAAGCGAATAGCATTAGCATAAATTTCAGTTCATTTTTTAATTAGTTTTTGTTTTTCGGTTTTTTTCTTCTCTCAACAAACAGCCGGGCACTGAGCTCAGCTACGGAGCCATACTTCATCTTTTACAGATTTCAACATTAAGAAAGTTTATTACTCCATAGAATTGTAAAAGCATACGCTGTTTGGAATTTCTAACGCCCACTTCAGCAGCTCATTTCATGTCAGTTTACTTTGAAACGAAAAAAAAAAAAAAAAAAAAAACCTGGAGGAGGAAGAAGCGTAATGCGGGTACACAAACATGGTAAATGCTCATTTGCAATATGAAAATGTGTGGAAGATTTGTGGAAAATGTAAATGAAATGGTGGAAATACCCTAACCTCTTCCTGCTCCACAAAACAACACTAACTGACTGGTTGTCTGACGCACACACACACACCCACAAACAAATAGACACAATGACAGACCGACAGACAGCCCCACAAATGAATGATTTTCAATTAGCATTTCTAATTTCCATTTTTCGAATTCGATGTTTGACGGCAGTGATGCTAAAGACGATCGAATTTGTTTTTCAAGACTCATGACGACGGCGCCGCGCATTAGGGGAGGTGGTGATGGTGGTAATGAGGGTGTGAGCTGCAATTTTAAGGACCAAGTTTTGTGTTTTTCCATTTTTTTTTTGCCCAAATCTATTTTGGGAATAAGAGATTTTATGAGATTTACTAGCTGTTGTTTTGGGCGCAAGGCAAGAAAATTAATTTAGGTCATGTAGCTGAAATTCCTAACTTTTTTTTACAAAACTTCTCCTCATTTTCTCATTAGAAAGCAGATATTTCTTATTTCGTTTCGTTTATTTTTTCTAATATCTGCTTGCTTAATATACTTAACTCCGTTCTGCCGCCCATCTTTTGTGCATAATTTGTTCTTTGGCTTCGTGGTTTTGTTTTTCATTCGTTTAAACACCAGCATCGTATGCATAATTTCCATGATGTGTAAGAAGCAGCAAAAAAAAAAAAAAGATTTTTTTCGAGTTTTATTAAGGCAGTCATTCCTTGCCTTATTTTCTCTAGTTCACCACACATTTCATTTTCCAAATTCCAAGAGAATTCCCAGGGAGAATTCATTGAGTAGCTAGGCAATGCAGGAGAAAGGATGTATTACCAGAATACATATGGCAAAGGAAAATCATCGCACAAGAAATAAACCAAGCTCGGTTGGCATTTGTAGGAAGTTGTTTAAAAACGAAAACAGTGGTGTTGAAAAAAGTCAAATTATATAAGAGAATTTAGAAATGTTTGCTTGAGCTAAGAAGTGTTAATGAATTTCTGTGGAGTTTACTTAACGAGACCACTCATACGCCGCAAAGTCCCAAACTTCTAACTTGGAGAAATATTGAAATAAATATTTATGGGAATTCCTGAATACACCTACAAGTTTTTAATCTGGAAATAATTTATTATTTTTTTTTTAAATTACCAAATATTGGTTCTGGCCTACCATATATTAAACCGATCATTATATCTCGACAATCAGATTTGATTTAGATATGAGGGTCCATTCCTCCATCCTTCTGTTCATATAAATTTGTAGTCAAACTAAATGTCGTAATTAAGACACGATTTTCTTGACATTTTACATAGACCCATGATCAAGGTGGTAATAGAAGAATTACAAGAAGAATTCGCCTGACGAACTAAATGAAAACCCAAAATCCAAACCATAGCCTGTTCTACAGGACAGGAATATATATTAAATCACAATAGCAACAAGTAAGAAAACTGTAAGTTCGGCCGGGCCGAACTTTTAATACCCTCCACCATTTGGAACGATTTTGGCAATTTTCAAAAAAATAAAATCCATTAAAATTCTGCTTGAATCCTAAAAATACCGAACGTAACCATTGAAATAGGGTATATACGACGACGTGGAACTGCATAGGCAACTTTTGTCATAAGCCACTACAATATTCAAATCCCAAACTTGAAAAATGTCGGTGAATAATATAGCTAAAATCATCAAAGTATCGAATATAGGTACTATTATATAGGGGCTATACCAAAACGTGGACCTGCACAGACAATTTTCTGTCATAGGCTGTAGTATCCATTACGAAATTCAAAAACCAAATTTGAAACAATTCCGGTGAATAATTTCGCTAAAATCACCAAAATACCCAATATCGGGAGGTACCGTTATATGGGGCTATATGAAGACGTGGACCTGCACAGACAATTTTCTGCCATAGGCTTTGAAACAATTTCGGTGAAAAGGAGGTACCATTTTATGGGCGCTATACCAAAACGTGGACCTACATTACCCATTTTCATATTTGAGTAAAAATTTATCAACCTACTTCATTTCGTTCGGAGGCTAGGGTGATTTCCACATACGGACAGACGGATAGACGACGGGACATAGAATTTCGTGCTGATCAAGAATATATATACTTTTTGGGGTGTAAAATATATATTTCGAGGTATTACAAATGGAATGACAAACTTAATATACCCTCCATACTATGGTGGAGGGTATAAAATCTTAGATTTTATCATTTTCTGGCAAGAGACAATTGCGAATTGATAAAAATTAGTGCAAATGTTCTTCACTTATAAGCAGAAAGCTAAGATCTATTTCGTTAACATATATATTGTACCTATCTTGCTATACATCCGATATCTTGGCTATCGACATCACTATTATGGTCAGAAGTGACCTTTTAATGTGTTTGTGATTTGGTCGGGATTAAAAATATTCGCGAAATTTTCGCTAAATAATGGCCGTCCAAATTGGTAAGCTTCTCCCTTAAAACTCTAAAATTCCGCGTCGAATGGCTTTTAATTGTGGCCTGTAGAGCAGCAGAAATATCAGAAAAAGTCTGTACAAAAGAAGTTAGCTTCTATTTGCTGTTCTATTAAATTTAATAGGTATTAATGTACTTTTGTGAACAAAATGAAGGCTGCATTTTTAGTCCGATTTAGACAAAATTTTACACAGGTCATTTATTTGACTAAAGGACTAACCCTATTCGAATATTGCTTCCATATATAGTATCGTTTGATTTGATAAGTATTGTGCACTTAATACCTAGTTGGTCGAGAAGTATGTCTGGGGAAATGGGAAGTATGTATGGGGAAATATATCAAATACAGCTCGGAAATACATTTGCTAAATTTTATCGAGATCGGTTCAGATTTGGATATAGCTCCCATATATAACTTCGTCCGATGGAATGGAATTTGGCACATACGACCGAATTGAGTCTAGAAGGTAGTATGCCAAATTTGGTGAAGATCGGTTCAGATATAGCTATAGCTCCCATATATATTGCTCAACCGATTTGTTATTTTTGTTCTCCGCAGCCGTAATATGCACTCCGTAACAATGATATTCAGGGAAATATATCTAATACGGCTCAGAAATACCTTTGCTAAATTTTATCGAGATCGGTTCAGATTTGGATATAGCTCCCATATATAACTTCGTCCGATTTACATTTTATTGTCCACCAAACGTCTAATATTTGCCCAAATGGGATGGAATTTGGCACATACGACCAAGTTGAGTCTAGAAGATAGTATGCCAAATTTGGTGAAGATCGGTTCAGATACAGCTATAGCTCCCTTATATATTGTTCATCCGATTTGTTGTATTTGTTACCCACAGCCGTAATATGCACTCCGAAACAACGATATTCAGGGAAATATATCAAATACAGCTCAGAAATATCTTTGCCAAATTTTATCGAGATTGTTTGAAATTGTCATTCTAATTCCAAAAAAAATGTTTAAACCAACCTACATAACCCATTTCAATACCAAAAGTCCTGCAGAACTAAAACACATCTGAATAAAATTTTATCAACTTACTGGTGTGATTTTCACAAACTGACTGACATGCCAACCTGGAAGCAATAATCGGTAAATTTTTTTTTGGTCCCGATTTTTTTTTAAACTACTTAAAATCGGTGCTACACGGTACCCTGAAAAGCTGATTTCGATTTAAGGTACATTTTTTTTCATATCACACTTATTTGCAGTTTGCTATTATCTCTCCTCAGTTGATATCTATTTTTTGATTACTTATTGGGTTTCTATATGTTCCTGACCACCTATATTATCTATTTCAATACTCATTTGGCCCACCAAATTCATCCATAACGTTTTTTTTCCTTTTTTCCAATGAAAAATAACTGTATATAACCACTGTTCGTGAAGTCTTACCCATTTTCTGAATGCTGCCAGTAGCAAATCTAAGAATCCTTTTGTTCATTATTTTGTGCTCGGTTAAGCATTTACTGGTCGACTGCTGCCGAAATTAAAACCTAACACAACAGTGACTCACATTACAACATCGAAAACATGAATGTCGAGTTTTTTTCTTGCTTTCTGTTTGAGGTAAGAAGTCTGTTTCTTCCCCATTTTCATTAATTTTTCTTTCGTATTTAAAGTTAATTGAGATTAATTTTTTGGGGCTAAGCCCTAAGTGTGAAAATATGAGCTTTTTTCTTGTGATATATTTAAATGGTGTTTATTGGTGGTTAGCAAATGAGGGGTTCCCATTAATTTTCATTAAAAGAATTGAATTCTTTAAAAAAAACTTAGATTGGGTTTAATTTTATTTTCAATTAAATTAATTAAATCTCTGTTGGATCTTAAGGAGTTTTGAGGGAGTCAAACT